CGAAGCAAGAGGGTGCTGGTTAGAAGGCCAGCCCAGAAGCTGGCAGATGCTGGTTAGAAGACCAGCTTCACACGTCTGAGGGCTGAGCCCAACTTGCCCCTGCTGGTGCCTCTCTCTGAGGAGCTGTTCCAGGCTCGCAGACGTTGTTTTCAATGCCTGGGTGATCTGATTTTGGAGCAGAAGGGCACAGGCTGCTCGGAGGGTTGCTGAGAGGGAATCTAGTTTGAGGCAGATGGGGTAGGAGGACAAGGCTCCCAGCCTCATAACATTCGCTCTCCCAGTCATTCTCCGTAAGTCTAACAGGTCGGCTGCGGATGGCTGGAGTTCTGCAGTCCAATTAAAAAGATCATGATTAAAACCTTCAAAGTAGAATTATTTTGGAACCTGTCCAACGTGTTAGAAGAGGACTGGTCTGGTAAAGTAATTTGTAGCTGGCGATTTTGCTAATGCAAACTAGGCTGGGCTCATTAAATTGGTGACCTGTGGTGATTTTAAGAGTAACGTCAATAGACTCTGACCTTTTATCCAACTGCAAACTTTAACAAGTGAAGGCAAAAAGTCCTCAGTAGCCATTGTTGCCTAAGTGTGGAAGTAGTTCTTGATATTTTAATGTGATAAGAATTTAAAAAATGAAAAAAAAATAATAAAGGGGGGGAACATATATAACAATTGGCCGGTAGGTAAAGTTGCTGTTCTGGTTTTTTCTTTTGTCTGTTTTTGAGACATTTTGTTCATATTTCAATGAGGAGAAGAAAGAGAGGAACTGAAACCCAAATATTCTTCTGTGGAATTCTTCTGAAGGTGGGATGTGTGGAAAATATGACCAAAATAAAAATAGATATTGTCTGGAGTTTCATTTACCAAGGTGGCTGAAATTATAAAATAAAATTTACTTACTTTGGAAACTTTAATGTTTATTTTTAAAAAGCAATAATTAATTAATAATATTATTTGCAAACCACCCTCATTTTCAAAATATATACAAATGGAAAGCAAGTAGGCTGTCAGTTTCTTATGACTGAAGGCTCATTGCTGGGTAACTTTCCCCCATTTTCAACACACCTGTGACTTCAGTTGATGGAAGCAATCATCTATGTCTGTGTTTTTTGTTGGAAGGTATTTGATGGTTGGATTCTCAAGGGGGAGAAGTTCCCCAGTTCCCAGGATCATCCTATCCCCACAACTGAGAGGTACATAGATTTTTGTGAGAGTGGTCTTAGCAGAAGGAGCATCAGATCCTCCCAGAATGTGGCCATGATCTTCTTCCGGGTCCATGAAGCAGGCAATGGATTTACATTAACTGTAACGACAGATCCCAACCTCTTTCGTGAGTAGGCTCCCTGTCTTCTCAAGCCAAAGGCAGGACTCATGTGTTGGGGGATGGGGGAAGGAGGGGGTCTGTCAAATCTGCTTTTCAAAGATAGTACTATTGCACAGACTTAAGAAATTTGAGGTACGGAATGCTATGAATGGAAATTCTTTTATAATTAGAAATGACCTAAAGGGTATTGCTTGTTTTTATTATTATAAAAATCAAATCACAGTTTTTAATTTATTTCCCAGGCTAGGTAGGATACTAATTTATGGTGAATAGAACTCTAAGTTTTCTTCAAACTTTTGGTCTGATCTTCTAAGACACTACAATGCATTCATTCAGTGGCAAATTTAATCTCTCCAAGTCATTCCACTGATCTGTGATAAGCTTGAGGGAGCAGATATGAAGTTGCAGTCTTAGAGATATTCAGGCAAAGGCTGAAACACTGCATATCTGGGATGCAGTAGATAGATTTCATGCCCTGGGCAGAGGGTTGGACCAGAGGACCTCAGTGTCATCTGATTCTGAGCCCCCCAACTCTAATTTAGTTCATTTCTGATGGGTACACACAGAGATGCTAAAAAGCCGAACAATCCAGGCCTAAAACACATTATCTTAATCAAAATGAGCTCATTCACACAGTGTAAATATATATACGCCTTACTGTTAAAGTGTACAGCTGAAACTTATTATATTTCATTAACCAATGTCAACATAAAAAACAAATTAATAATTAATTAATTTAAAGAATGAGTTCATTCAACGCTTGTTTTTTTCCCACATTAAAAGAAAAAAATTTTTTAATCAGAAAAACATAACACTCGTTTTCGGTTGCATGCAATAGTGTTAATATTAACATTTCATGTGCTCAAAGAATGGGGACTTATCTGCTAAAGAATAATTTACTTACTGATCTTTAATTTTTGAAAGAAGCCCCCCGCACCCCCATAAAAAGGCTGATTCTGAGGACTGGAGCAGAATAATTCTGGAGTACAGAGTGAAATGTTTTTCCCATACTTTGTTTGGTTATAAATTAGAAACCTTCTGGAATCATCAAAGAATTTCAGTTCTTTTTGAAATGAAGTGTAATTGAAATTATAGGAAGGAGACAAGAGGTAATTCTGACCTAATCTGATTAATCAGAAACTTTTCTTCCATAACTGTCAAAAAAAAAGGTACAAACTCTGATGCTATTAGTTTCATAGCTAGAAGAATAAATTTAAGTCTAGACTTGAGACTCAGACAAAAATTTCAGAAATTCTTGGAAGTAAATTAAACATTAAAATTTATCTTTTAATCAACTTACCACTTAATACTCAACAAATATTTATTAGATGTAAGCCTGCTTTCTATTTTTTCTCAGACTGTTTTGTGACTTTTTTATCATTTATTTATTTTGTTATTTAAAAAGTGACATATGGCTCTATACATTATGAATGAAGTCTTCAGATAGACAGTGTTCGAGTTCTGGCCTCAGTAAAGCCTTGATTTTAGGTTTTAAAAAGTTTAAAACTTCTTTATACTCTTTAAAGCCTTGATTATTCCAGACTCCCAGCTTAAACTTGGACCCTAGTTTACTGAAGTGCTCCTAGAACTTCCTGCAGCTCATATAGTTTGGTTGATTATTAATTTATGTCTGTGATTGTTATAAACAAGGCAGCTCCTTGAGATTAAGATGAGAAGCCCCTTGCAGCCAAAGGCATTCTGACAATGTCCATATATCACTGGTGATTTTTATTCCCCAACTCCTTCCAGTCTCTGGGTTGCCTTTGTGATATGTACTCTCTTCAGGGCCACAGGCCCTAGACCATAAATAGGAGCCTAGAATAAGGATAGGATAAATTTCTATAAAAACTCAGCATATCAAGTACTGAAAAATGTGATTTTGTTTTTCTATAAAGCCTGCAATGTAATTTCCCAGACTCCAAATGGAAGGTTCACCCTGGTAGTTCCACATCAGCATCGAAATTGCAGCTTCTCCATAATTTATCCTGTGGCGATTAAAATATCTGATCTCACCCTAGGACACTTCAATGGCTTGCAGTTAAAGGTGAGTTCCTTACTTGCTTCCAAAACATTTACTAAGGCCACAGATTCATCAGAACAGAAGTAATCATACAGGGTAAACATGGATATTAGTAAATTGGAGGAGTATGTGCTTCTGTTTGACTATTAAGTCTCAAATGTGTGTGCCTTTGCTGCTTTGACTAAATCCCTCTTCTATTTCCGTTATGCTGCAAGTTGCATACTCAGGTGTCCCTTGTACCAATTTGAATAGTTTTCTTGAGATGTAGGAAATGTTTTCAGTTGGTAAACTTGTGGCATATAATTACAATTGAACTCTCTTGTACTTGCTTCATTTAAAAAAATTCTCTTCTAGCAGAACTTAGTATGAGTCATCTACACAGCTGGTTTTCTGATTATTGGAATTTTCTTTTGACGTGAAGAAAGTATCTCATTGACTGTGTTATGAAAAAATGCCAAATGTGGCATAAAATATGAAATTGGATTTTTATATTGCAAAATACAGTAAAGTTTTTTTACATTACATTTAATTCAGTACATTTTGCAACAAATTATTAGCTGAGAGTCTCCATCAACTTGTTTTCCCGTGAAATTCTGTATGAATTTTAAAATTAATGCTGAGTTTGATCACATTTACTTGCACTGGTAACTTCTTCCCTCTGAGTCATCCTCATTTCCTTTTACTTTCTTTCTCATATGTCTAGGTTGAGATAGCACATGTATTTTCTGGCATCAAAGACAGTCATAGTTCCTACTCAGACAGTTTTCAGAGAAAACCAAATAAATAGGATCAGGAGTGAGAAAAGGAGTATGTCTAATTTCCTTTAAGTCCTAAATTCAGTGCTATTTTGTTGTTGTTGTTGTTGTTGGACCTGAGTGGAAGAATAATTCTTTGATAAAGACCAGGATAAGTGGGTATCTCTGGCATAGCCTCATTAGCTTGAGATTGTTTGTATGTCCTTCCTGATGATTAGTATAGAAGATGGCATGTATGGTAGAAGATTGGGGGATCCACACTTCAGTTATTGTTGGCTATGAGGAGTAATCTTAGTGTTTCCTCTTTAAAAAATTTAGAGTCTGAAAAAAAAAATTCGAAGTCTGCAGTGTTCTAGGCATCTATTTCTGTACAAAATATTTTTTGAGTGCTTACCATGTGCAAGGCACTATTATAGATGCTCGGAATTAGCAATGAACAAAACAGATCCTGCTCATGTGGACCTTGCATTCTAATGGGATGAGATAGTAAAAATGTAATGTACTTCAACTAGTGGTGAGTGCCTTACAAAAAATGAAGTGGAGTGATGTGATAGTGACTGGGACAAGGGAGCAAAAGTAAGGGCAAGGAGCTCCTTGAGATAAGGTGATCAGGAAAGAAATGTCCTGAGAAGGAGACATTTAAAGTGAGACTTGAGTGATAGATAAGAAGGAGCCAACAGCCTCAGGAAGAGTTGGGAACAGAGAGAAGTAGTGCAGAGGCTCAGAGGCAGGAATGGGCTTGCTGGGTTCCATAAACGGAAAGAAGGAAAAGTAGAGGTGGAGTAGTGATATGAGAGAGCATCAGGGAGGGAGATGGGCAGGGCCAAGGTGTGGAGAGCTCAACAGGTCTTATTAAGGAGTTTGAGTTTATTCTAAGTGCAGTGGGAAACCACTGAAGAGCTTCAGGCAGGAAAGTGACGTAACCCATTTGCTTATGCTCAGGTGGGGTGAAGGTAATTGGGAATTGCTGATGTCATGACAAAATTAACTAACAAAATCAAAGAGGGGAGAAATAGGTTTACCCAAAGGCCATTCTGGCTTCCATGTGGTAAATTGACTGTAGGGGCCTAAGTTGTGCAAAGAGTGCACCTGGGGGGGCGTTGTCACAGTCTAGACAAGAAACAATAGTGGCTTAGTCTAGGGAGGTACAACCTCAACAAAGAAATCTAAGGAATCACTGTTGAACTGAACTCCAGAGAGGTCCCTATACAACTCAGTTTCTGCCATTGGTTGTAAGAATAGCTGAGAGGTTTGGGAAAAAGAGAGAAAAGTCATCGAACACCAAGAAATAGGTCTATTCCACTTCCTTGTTTCTTTGTTTTGTTCTCATTTTGGCTTCTGCTTCTTCCTATCTCCTTTATTCCCCATTTCTCCCACCTGAGCCTGCCTTTTCCCCTTCACTTCCTACTGAAATTTAGAACTTATAGAACCACGTGGAAAATTTAGTCCTAAGAGGTGCTCCCCTTGGACAGTCTCTACTTGTGAAAAAGACAATTAAGTTTTTTTTTTATCTTCACCATAAATGGCTTATTCAACTCTTCATACAAGAACATAAGCCCTGTACACTGAGGGGCTAATTAACCCTCTACTTCATCATTTGATGAAATTATGCACAAAGCATGTAGCATAGAACCAAACACATTAGGTGCTTTAAAAATGTGTCCCCACCTGCTCACTTTCGTTAGCTAGTTACTGTTATAATATTTTCTAAATTATTGTTTAGTTCTAGTTGCATTTCAGTGTCTTCTAAATGTTTGCATGTGTGTGTTTGTTTATATAACATTCACTATTTTAGATCTGGGTCCTTATGTACTAACGTCTGTCTGGTTAACCTCTGAGCACCTTACCACACTCCACTAGGTCTACATGCCTTAATAAAGAAGAAGACCACAGAGAAAAACAGCTATATCATTTGTGGGGGACAGTACAAAATAAAAATGTGAGAACCCTTATTTAAAAATTATTAAGAATTTCAAGACTAGGCCCTTGTAAGCATGGACCCTGTGTGGCAGCACAGGTGGCATGCACATGAGGCCAGCCTTGATTACAGGAGATGGGTGTCCCGAAGGGCAATATTTGGGACTAACGGGGGTTCTTTTGTTTGTGTGGGAAAGTGAAACACAGGAATTGCTGTGGATGAGACAGTGAGAGAAGGATGAAGGGCAGCAGAAAAAGGTGGTTGCAATGAATCATATAAAGTTTTAGACTAGATTCTTGTTTTGAGTAGTTTGAAATAAATTTTAGTTAGAAAGATAAACACAGTGATAACTCTAGCTAACTTGAGCCCCAAAATAGGGTTCTCTTCTTTCTTTGATATTCTTGTAACTAATCTAAATCCTTATCAGCAGAAATTATAAAGATTATCTCAATAGCGGAAAAATTTCTTTGTAAAGAAGAGGAAAAGACATGGGTTGAAGGAAAAACTGATGTGAAAGCCCTATTCATAAAAACTCTAACTGCATGTATTAAGAAATTCAAATAATTTTGTATGTATGTCCAAATGATTTAAAAAGCAAAGCATTTTCAGATTCAATTTTTATATATCTTATATGGAGTTTACAGATTCCCATTTTACCATTCCAGTCCTGGAGCTTATAAAGAAATGCAAACACATTTAAAAATGATTACTCAACTGATTTAGAAAAGCACTTCTTATTATTTTTTTTTTCTTTTAAATGTCTTTTAATTTCCAGAATCCTGGATGCCGAATTAAGTGGCACTGCCAGGAAGTCTAAGGCTGGTTGATGAATTTACCAGCTTGCCATTTGTCAAATGGTTTCTCTGCTATAATTGATTTACATATCCTTCCCTGTTGCTTCATTCTCTCAGAAACCCTCAGCAGGTTGTGGGGGAAAAGGAGACTTTGTGGAGCTGCTGGGAGGAACTGGATTGGACCCTTCCAAGATGATGCCTTTCGCTGACCTCTGCTATCCTTTTCATGGCCCTGGTGAGATGTCTCTTCGATTATTATTTATGTTCCTATCAAGATTATTTTCTTAAGTAAAACACCTTAATTTTTTGTACTTGGGAAGGCAACTTCTACCAAAAAAAAAAAAAAACCCTTCAATTTTGCACATTGAGCTGTTGTGAGGACCTTACATTTGAGCCTATGTACAGTATCAAGAATGCATTACTAAAATAACTGACATTGGGAGAGAAACCTATGAAATAATAATGATACACGTTTAAGGTTGGCTGTAAGTAAAACTATGAAAATGACAAAGCTTTTTTGTTGTGTGCTCTTTCCATCTTCTTAAAGGTCCCTGCTTTCATCTGCTAGATACTAAAGGGTTTGTTTACTAAAACTATGGTTCACATAGGAGATATATCATCAATTAGTAATGGTATGATAATGAAGTACCATCTAAACTTTTCCATATATACATATATGTGTATGTAATACTTAGTAAATAAATTCAAAAGTAGTGTGCTTTATTAGAAATTCTCAGAACTGCTGAATGTCCCCAACTTCTAGCAGCAAAACCAGCCTCTGAAAGACCGCTGTGGGGTCCAGGAAGGGGGTAAGAATCGCTCACCTCACGACCAAATTAATTAACAAAGTCCAAGGGGGAAGCAGAAGATTGCATTAAACATTTCTATAAGCACCACTCTCATATCTGTAGTTTAGATGCAGGAATCAGAGATTATCTTTAAATAGACAAAATTAAAACAGGAGAGGTAGTACAACAGTCTTTAATCGCATGGTGAACTTTCATCATAGCCCCCTTCCTCTCTTGTCTACACAGATCATTAACCAACTAGGTAATGAAGCTACAAATCAGACATCCTTTTGATTAGAATAGAATTAATATGCACAGGTAAACATTAAGGCTCAATATGTATTCCACTGTTCCTCAGATACACCTGTATAAAAGAACTTCAGATGAAATTTAAGGCAGGACTGGGCCTAGGGCAAGATTTCTAATAAAGGTAAAGGCAAGAGGTTTCTAAAAACTCACTTTGTTGAAAACTCAGGAAATATTTTATGATAATTTATGCTTGAGCTGTCAATGCATGTGGCTTCTCTTGCCTTTTGCCTGTGTTCTCTGAGGCACTGGATCCTTCCATGCCAATAGGCACCTGTGAGGAGATGCATTTGAGCTGGGTAAAAAGATTACATTAAGGACTAAAGAACACTCATGTTTTAAAATTTAGATAATTGAAGCCAGAATAATTTTGGTGCTTGAATTGTATGGCTTGAATTTGGTAAAAAGGTAAGACTAAGTGCAAAAAACCTACTTTTGCCTCAATTATCTAGGTAATTGAAACTAGTCTTAAGATAATTTGAAGGCTTGAATTCTATACTCATTGGTTAATTTTAGACTTTACTTTTTTTTGTTCATTCACCATGTTTCCATGAGTCTCTTTTAAGTTGTTCATATAATGAAGAACTACTAGAGACTCTGACCTTTGAAATGAATTTTATTAGGAATTGTCAAAGAATAAACAATACATATATTAACTAAAGGAAATAGGGCATGTTATACAGATTAAAGTTCAGAGTAAGATCAGAAAAAAGATGACCTTCCAAGTCATTTAAGAAAAACTAAATTTGGATCTTCTCATAGAAGCATAACCCAGACTCCCTGGTGCTTATGTTAAGATAATTATAGAGTTTATATTTATTATGTTTCCAAATTGACTTTTACCTCAATACATAAATCTTTCTGGCTGATTTACTTTATTTAAACCCAGGCACGTGTTTGTAAAGTATCAGCTATATAACAATGCTAGTGTTTCTCAGAATTAAGGCCTTATGAAGACAAAGAGAGGAGAAAATTAAGAAAATTAAAATAGCAGAAAGGATTATTATAGGGCAGATGAATCTTGCCTCAGGAACCAGCTTGAGGTTTAGAGGAATAAAATAAAAGTAATTTTTAATAAAAATAATATGAGTTCAGTATATACCTGCTTAGGCACATCTGCACTAGAAGATACATAAATGTTGCCAGCTTATACGAATAATGAATAAAATTGGATTTAAGAGAAGTAAGGATGTCAAAAGCCATTCCATGTACAAAGCACAGAAAAAAAATAAGAGAGAAGATGTGCAAGTGGACAATAGAACAAAAACAAATATATTCCATGTAGTATATCTAAACCATGCAAATAATTTTTTGTATATATGTAAGACAGAATTATTATATATACTATTACACATTATATTATATATAGTATGTACATTACATATATTATAGCTCAGAAAATAATTAACAGGTGATTTTTTTTTTGTCTACATAAATATCTAGCAGTACATTCTATCCTCTAATCTTGCCCACTAAATGACACTTGCACTCCTATATATTATGACAGCCAAAAACTTCTGCAAATTTCTAGCCTGTCCTTAGGGGCCAGTACTGCCCCCCACTGAGAACGTTGAACTAGAGCAAAGATGTGGACAGACAGCTGCCTTTACCTCCAAAGCCTTGTGTGTAGAATATGAAAAGTGCAAGGACACATCTTCTTGCCTGTATGCAGCCAGATTTATTTGGCTAACAGTGTTCTTGCACATGAGGAGAAAGGCTGAGTTCAATTTCACAATTCTACAATTAATTATATATTACAATAAAAATGAAAACAACAGTGTTTCTCCTGATGGCAGATGCATGGTTTGAGTCTGTGAGAGGAAGATACATCCCCTCACTTTCTTTGTGTTTAAATCATCTTGTTTACAGAAATGGTTTGACTGTGTGGTTTCTAACCTGCTGGGAAACTTTTCCACTTTTTCCATGAATTATAGCCCAAATGAAAATTGGCTGTGACAACACAGTGGTGCGCATGGTCTCCAGCGGAAAACACATAAATCGGGTGACTTTTGAGTACCGTCAGTTGGAACCATACGAACTGGAAAATCCAAATGGAAACAGTATCCCGGAGTTCTGTTTGTCTACTCTTTGAATAACCAATCCAATGAGTTTTTAATGGATATTATACATGATTTTGATCACCAACTAGTTAAAATCCTTTCATAACAGTCAGTGTGCACAGCCTAGAGCCCACATCTCCTCCTACTCCTGTCTGTCTCTTACACACACACACACACACACATGCACGCGTGCATTAGTTTTTACCTTGCTTTTTTTCCATTTGTAATATGTAAATGACCACATAGTAGAAAATAAGCCCTCCTTTGGTAGAAAACCAGTTTTTTTGTAATCCTTTGCTATGCTATAGTACTGAACTGGTAAGAAAAGTATAAAGCAATGTGCAATTAAAAAATATATTTCAAGGGAAAATACTACCAAAAAAAATAAAATGGTGGCATTCATATCAGTTTTATAACAGAAAATGATTAAACAATTGGATGCCTGTGTATACCAAAATAGTTGCATCTGTTTATTTATTTTCTGCTTATTATTCTGTTTACAGTAGGTAATGATTGTAGCTATTATTTATTGATTTGCAACAACTTGTTTTTAACAAAACTCTGTAACATGGAAAAGATTTTCCAACTGTAAATACAAACGTTAATAAATATATTCAGAATGTTGGTTCCTTGATTATTGTGCTTTGTTTTCTGAGTAGTCCCCTCCCTTATTACCATCAGAAAATTATGTTCTCATGTGGTGCCAAACCAAATGCTGAACAAAATCATTTTTGACTTCTTAGAATTAATAGAGCCTGGCCAGTGAAGTGGAATTATCTAGAGCAGAAGGCAGATCGCAGTGCTTGTACAAACAACTCTAACCGATGGACCCTGCCAGGGAAGCAGGACGCAAGGGTCCCTTCTCCAGCATCCCCCAAGAACACTGAGAATATGTCTTTTCAACGAGGACAGCAAAGGCCTTACAACTGTCATTGACAATTTGCAGGATTCCAAGTACTTCTTTGGTACCAAAGGCAGTTTACTGTTGACTGAGCCTTGTCCACATTTGTCTTGAGATTAACCATGTGGGGGCCAAAAATGAGGTCTTGAGCAACAGAGGGAATACTCCTAAGCGATATCCTCTTTACTGTGGATTAATGGATGGAAGCTACAAACAATGCCATAATGAATGGCCTTATTATTTAATATAAAGTTCATCTTATAATGGAATGTACTGGAATCCCATACATGAAACTTGTTAACAAAACCTGATAACCAGGCAGAAAGAAAAATATTGCTTGAAAAAGCTAAAAATATCCAGAATTTCGTACAAATTTTGGCCCAGTAGATATTTTGTAACGAATGAATTCTTTAGCAAATGAATGAATGGATATATTCATAACTGGATGGATATATAATTCCTGATTAGTTATATAAATGTTGAATTCCTTATTTAAAAAAAATCCTATGAAGTTGAGCCTTTTTATCTTTTTCATAGTCTTTCTCGCAACCTAAGAATCAATGCAGTCACTTATATCACTGTCAGAAGTTCCTGGCTTTTAACCCTCATGATCCCTTTATGCTGAGTAGAGAAAATGGTCTGAGGTAAGGAGGCAAGCATTTTACTGTGGAAGTTAGAACGACTTGCTTTTATTCCTAAGGGACATTTTGCAAACTACTTAGCCTTTCTGCTCTAAAATGGGTGGGACTGTTTTCTTCTAACCTTGACATTCCAAGATCATTCATTTGTGACATATTTTATTTCAAAGCTTGTTATTGCATAATAGTGTAAATTCTTTGAGAGGGTGGCCACTCCAGAGAACTGTCCATGACTTATTTTTTTGGAGATCCACGACTTGGTCTTCATTCCAAAAGGAAGGGGCAGCTTTCTGGAAACAGAATGGTAGATGAGATCTCTGGGAGAGAGTTAAAGCATGTGTCTTCAGTGGCACCTCTATTAATTGAGTAAAATGTTATATAAAAATTTGGGCAAATTTGACTTCCTAAGAAAGGTAGTATCCATAGTGATTGAAGTGATTGACTCTGGAGCCAGAACTTTTTGAACTTCAGCTCTACCACTTACTTGACCAAGGCACTGATAAGTGTTTGTTGCTTGTTTTTAATTTGAAAAATTGAGGTAATAAAGGCACATCCTTTAAATAAAGATTTTTTAAGTTTAAATGGTTAAATATATTTAAAGCCCAAGAAACATGTCCTGCACATACTAGCTGTTATTTTTATTCTTCTTTGTTTCTTTTTTTATTATTTCTTACTTGTTAGCAAATTTGCCACTCCAAGCCTTCTATACTCTTAGTAGGGCATCTGCTCTGTGCTCTGATGGTTTGTACTGATTCGATTGTCCTGTTTCATCCCGGGACATTTGTAAGGAAGCTAGGGTTAGTTAGGGTTGTTGTCTGTGACTGAGAAGCAGAGTAAGGTTACTGGGAACATTTGAGGGTGGATCATGTTAGGCCTTATCAGGTTCTCATGTGCCTCTCCTCACAGCTGACCCTTATCTGTAGGCTCTGCACTACTCCAGGATTAATTCTGGCCTTGGACAGGAGGAATTTGAACAGCTCTTGTCCAACATTCTGGTCATAAAGAAGTCACCACGCAAATAGTCTGTCTTGACTCTTTACTCTGAACCCTCCATAATCTTCCTAGCTTTTGGTTATCTCACCTAAGCTCCTGCCTGACCCTACTCTATCCTCCACACCTAACCCTACATTTTCCTAAATACTGATTAGGTTACTTTGGCTCTATTGCTAATCACTGAATTTCCAAATTCTTCTTGCCTTCATGCCTGAAAGTCTGAGCACTCTTGCTCATAGGTTTTAGGTCGCCATGTTCCTCCCACTCTCTGGATGCCTTTCTGCCTCCTATAAGCCTGCCCCTTCTAGCCTATTGTCTATGGAATACATTGGTCTGCTTATGACATTGGACTTTCTCTCAGTATCTAAAACAGTATGTCTTCTTCACCCCAACTTATTCTTGGTACTGTTGCTTTATTTAAGAGGATAGGGCAGAAAGCTGTGTGTTCACCAAAAGCCATTTCTTCTACCTCCCGAGAATGTAGTGAGACTACATGTTTCAATCTTTTTTACAGTTAGCTTTGATCATGAGACTGAATTTTGATTGAAGGAATGTGGCTAGAAATGATATCCAACCCTCATGTAATTTTCCATGCCTTCTCTTTCTTCCTTTATCTACTGGAAAGATATTGAGGTTCTAACAGAGGACTTCTTGGCCATACAAGAAGACAGAGCCATAGGCTGCAAGGAGCCTAGATCTCTGAATGAATACATAGAAGGCTGCCCTTTGATTAGGAATTAAACTTTGTGTGAATAAGAAGTAATCTTTTGTTAAGCTACTGAGATGATGATGATGATATGAGTTAACATCGTCCATACAATGGGTCTATCTAAATCAAATTCTCAGCTATTGTCTAATTTCCCTGGCTGGTTTTGCGGCAACTATCCACAGAAGTCCAATCTGATTGTTTTCCAGAGAAAAATACCCCTAATGCATATCTTTGATCTCGTGAACACCAGGTTTTGACTGATATCATTGTTCCTTTAAGAATCTTCTAAGAATAGCGATTCTTAGATTGGACTCCTTTGAAAATCTGACAAACTGTAGACCATCTCCCCACCCCCAAAAGCCCATATATACAAGAACGCCCTAAATTTTCTGAGAATTCACAAATTCCTAAAACTCACCCAAGATTTCAGGATTCTTATCCCTGCTTTAGGAGTAAATAATGAATAAAAGTGAGTTTTATACTAGTCTTCTCAAACTGGACTGCTTTCCCTTCAGTGTTAATTTAAAACATTCACTGGTTAATTTGGCTGCAAAATAAGTCCATAATAGCAACTCAATGTTTATGCTTTTATATTTTACTATTTAATTTTGACTTTAACTATGTGTTTTCTTTTTTCTGACCTGCTATGTAGTTTTTCCTCAGGGAGGAAATACATTTGACACAGGACAAATTGGGTGGGCAAAGATTCTTCCAGATCTCTCCCAACTTTGAAATTTTCTTTTTTGCTATTTTAATAGGGAGGCAAAATTGCCAGAGTTGGCCTGCAAAGTAGAAACTGCATGAAAGTAAGATAAAGATTTGATGGACAGGACTTACTTGGAGGCAGTTTGTTTATGTGCTTAACAAGATCTGATAAAGAGTTATGTATAGGAGCTTAGATTAGAGTAATCACATGAAATTATATCTGAATACACTCTTATCTGTGCAGTGAGTATTGCAGAAAAGAGAAGCACCTTTGTATGTTCAAATAAGCAGATTGAATGGTCTCAGTTTTAATGGATCATTTGTAATGATTACCATCCATTTTTTTCTCTTTGCATCGAAAAGTTTTTTCTTCTTGTGTTAAGACAAACTTTACACAGAGAGAAGAAGCAGAGACATGAGAGAAGAAATATGGGTAATAGAAAGAAGGCTTCATTAGAAACATTATGAAAATCAACGTCTCCAAATTAGACTCTGGGAACTATAGTATACCCAGTCCCTGTGCAGCTGAAAAATTGAAAATGAGAAGTGTTTTGCTGCTTTAAGACCATGTCACTACTAACACATGCAGCTGGATGAGTTAGAACTATTATCTTTGTAACTAGATGCATTGCCAGATATTGAGGTTTACTAGTAAGAAGATGGGCTTCTCTCCTCCAGGTTTCTAAAGTATAAAAAAATGTGTTCTGTGCTGTTAATGTTTCAGATATAATCAAGCCATCCAAATGCATAAGCAAAGTAGATGGCTACCTAAGTGGTATGATTTGAGGGATAGCAAAGAACCCACCTGACTGAAAACACCAAAATTTGTATATAATACTTTTCTTTTTGTTCTTTAAGATGTATTATTAGTTAAGTAAGTAATTCATGAGTACTTTATTGTTTTAAAAGATTCAAACCATACAGAGGTAACTCATTAATGAAGCAACTCATAAACTAGTAATTAATTTGACCATGTAAGATATTGCTACTCATTGTAAGGTGACATAGAATTGGCAGGTAAGTTTTGAGTAACGGAGAGTGTGGTGGGTGAAATTAAGAGTATGAGATGCTGAGAAGACAGACTCAGATGAATGTCTCATTAAGGCTAATGGAAAAACTAGCAAGGAACTGATGAAATCACTAACTGGCTGAAAGTTTGTAGAGGTAAGCAAAAACAAAGCTTGCCAAGGAGTTGGGGGTATTGTTAAAGACAAATTTTGTGCATTTCCTTTGTCTTGCCTAGGACCAGCTTTGAATGCAATCTTGCTTGCGCAGTGTAGATGAGACCAATAATACAGCTTTAGAAACAAAATCTGGTCCTGTGAGTACAAGCATCGCAATAGAGGGAGAGGAAGCCAGACATTGGAACAAGAAGTGGGGTGAGTTCTGATTCAACCATTAACTACCTATGTGTCCTTGAGCAAGTTGCCACACTTCTCTGAGCATCAGCTTCCTCATATGCAAAGTATAAACAAGAGCACCTACCTCTTTAGTGCACTAACTTTTGTGAAGTGCCAAGCACCATTCTAAGCACATGAAAGATGATATAAATATGAGTGTCCCTTTCCTGGAAAAGTTATTTACCAGGCTTTGGTAATACAATTTTATCTCAAATGCTATACAGAAGTGTGTAATTTAAAGAAAATAA